AAAATTGCATTGTTACATTGAAAAACTTTAAGAAGTAGGAAGAAAAGGACTTTCTTCAACCATTGGGGCCAAAATATGTCTTTCATTGAGCATTTTGCAGTTAATTTAGAACCAAAAAAAAATTTTTTTTTTGCAAATAAAAAAAAAGGCGATCCAAGAAGCAACAAATTAAATTGGCGTGGCCTAAGCAGTGGCCAGGTGTATACTATCAGTATTAGCTATCCTGAGAAAATGGGTGCTTATTGGTTTTGTTATTCACAATCATAGAAGTTAAGTCTAGAAGTACATGTAAGCAATTTAAAGTGCAATCTCATCAAAATTGTAAGAAATGTTTTATTTAATGTTACATAGTACAAATGTTTGTATATGTGACATAGTTACATATTTTCTCTTACTGTTTTTCTACTCCAGTCAAGCTCTGCTCAAGTCTCCGGAAACTGGAGTACAGAACTGGATGTCACCACTTCTGCTGGGTTCCCAAGTACCAACCCACCCATCCTTGAAAGCACTGATGGTATGTTTGTAACCAACTTATATTTTTGTGTAAAATCAGGACAAATAGTTTGAAACTTACAAATGGGTTAAATTTGTAGAAGAAAATAAGCTGTTGAATGATATAAGGTACAAGAATAACAGAATAACTATAATAATATTGTATGATCAACAAACTTCAAGTTTGTCAATTTTTGTCAAACAAAAGTTTAAAAAAGTAACTACAATTCTCCTCTGAAATAAATAAAAGATTGACTAATTTTTTGAACTGTACTCAAAATTTCAAGAATACATGGACTATACAATCTAAAAATTGTTTGTTTGTTTACAATCTAAAGATGAAGAAAGAAACAAACATTACTCATATTAGGTATAATTAATAATGATGTCAGATGCTAGTCTAGTGAGTGATTTGGTGAAGGGTCATTTACAACAAACATTTCTGAATCGTATGATATTGTATTTTGTTTCTAAGCACTTCCTTAGGCCACACTGACTTAATTTTATGGATGACATTGCTTTGATTTTCGCCGGTTTAAAAAAAAAAGATCACATCCACCGAGGCTCTGTCCTGGCTCCAGGCCTGGGTAGTCCATGGTAGTTAGCGACAATACGGAGCCGGACACCCAGGCTACTGAAGCTCCACAACTCAAGAACTCGTAATACATAATACGTACAGTGCCAAGTCATAAATTCCGCAAACAAGCCAGCATTTGCCAGCTTGTCGTATACATCGCTAAGTACTGCCACAAATTCACAAGTTTTGTATTCCTGTGGTTTAGTAGCATTTCTATTTTGGCCGGATTTTTTTTCTATTCGCCCGCGCGCACTAGTTTCGGGGTCTTCGGAGGATGTCATCCATAAAATTAAGTCGGGGTGGCCTTACGTATTCTGTAAAACTCTAAAAGTCGTACACGTGCCATTTCTTCTTCAGGAATCACATTTGGAGGTTTCGGAAAAGAACCTGGCGAGTTCAACTCTCCATTTGCAATTGGTCTGGCCGTGTCCACCGATGACCAGATCTTTGTGACGGACGAGCATAACCGCCGAATCCAAGTGTTCAACATGAACGGCACTTTCCTTCGCAAATTCCCCACCAGAAAATTGCGACCACGTGACATCGCCATGGACCGTAGCGGCGCCCTGTGGGTGCTCTTCAGTAGAAATAAGGACAAAGGAGATGCTGTTGTTAAGTACAGTAATGAAGGCCTAGTCAGTGATAGAGTTAAATCACTAAAGCCTGGATTAATGGCCTTTGGGATTGCGCTGGACACATTATCTGACAACGTTATCGTTATAATGACCACTGGAGCAGAGGTGTTTGGGCGTGACGGGTCCATAGTGCGTACATTTGGGCAAGAACTGGGCACCCCACTGGGAGTTGTGGTAGACAATGATGGTAATATTTACATCACCGATGCATCCACGAAGGCCAACTTTGTCTTCAAGTATGACAAGAATGGAGAGTTCCTTGTGAAATTTGGTGGTACAGGTAGTGGGCCGGGGAATCTAAAGTCTCCAATGGGCATCTGTGTGGATAGTTTGGGCCATCTGATCGTAGCTGACAGTGGTAACGGTCGGGTAGAGATGTTCACACGCGACGGAGAGCATATCCGCACCGTCGCTAATGTAGAAAAACCATCGCATGTGGCTACAGGTGGGGAGGGGCAACTTGTGGTGACTTCACGAAATCACACTGTCACCATCTTCCCAAAATACGACCTGTACTTCTAAATCACTTGAAGGTTGCAGGTTCAAATTCCAGTACAGTTCTGGACCTTAGTTTTTACAGCACTTATACTATATAGGGATTTGAGTCCTTTTCGAGTATATCAGAGCAATAACAGGTCTGATACACTGAGTTACAGACATCACACACTCTTTTTATCAAAGCTTGTTGTTTGTTTGCTTTTTTATGTTTACCAAAGGAAAACATATTTTTTTGCACAGTTTCTTCTTCTTCCTCTTAGTTCTTCTGCTCAGTGACCTCTGAGCTGACCAATGACCTGATTTGTTGAGGTCTGTCACCATGGTAACTGGTGTTGGGTTACATAATGTTGCAATTTCATGGTCTGCTCTGGACTTAGACTCCTGTCATCATATACTAGACAGGTACACTGTAATATGTGAATGTGTTTGAGTAAGAATTGAACTGCAGACTGTATCCAAAGGTAAACATTATGCATTTCCTTTGCAAGTGTTACTTCTATTTTATTTCACATCACCCATTGGTGCAACATATCTGTTCCTTACGTTTAGAAATTAGTAGTAGTACATGTACATGTACAAGACAACTGATATTCAGTTTGTTAACTGCCACATCCTTCAGTACATGTATGACAAGACAAGAATGAAGCAAAAAATGTTCAGATTACACTCCAAAGAATTTAAATACAAAATGATACATAAAAATTATATCAATGTGAATGTACAATGTATGTATAATACAATTATTATAATGCAATAGCTTGACTATTTTGAGTGATTCAGTATATTGATTGATGAGAACATGATCATTACTTTATTCATCAGCAACAGTAGTACCTTTCTCAAGGATGTTATTCTTCTTAAAGTGTACATGTTTGTATACATGAATCATTTGGTTTAAGAACTGATAGAAGATTTTAAATACTTTTTCCAGAGGTAAGCCTAGTACTTAGTATTAGAGAATCTATTGATGATTTTGGAAAGAATCAGGATACAGAAATGATGGCAAACTCTTTTTAGCAAAACGTTTTTAGCAGAGGTTTGCAATGTTTTTTAAACATTTAATTATAGTTTACTACTTTTTTTACACATTTAATTATAGTTTACATTTTTTAAACATTTAATTCGAGTTTCCTTTTTTACACCTTTTGTTCACTCTAAGATTGACACATTTTGTACATGCTAAGATTTAATACTTAGGCCACAGCAAGTAATTTTTATGGATGACATCAGCGCGTGCATTAATTTTCGCCTGATTTTGGGAGAAAAAACAAGAAATTTTGCTGCCTTCTGACAGTGGCCACCATGCCGAAAATGGGCAAAGATGTCTGTTGCCATGCCGGAACGTGGATGGCAGATAACTATGAAGAGACATGAAAAGGCTTTTAATTTAATGTTTTGTTTCTTACTTTGATGCAGTGATATGTGATGCTGGTTGTGTATATGTGATGTTCCTACTGAATCAACACCATTTGTTATGATTGAGTCAAATTTTTAAATTGTACATGTAGGAACCTTGTTTTTTTCGGCCCGCCTTGTTTTTTTTGCCCGCTCGCATTAGATTTGGAATCTGCGGAGGATGTCATCCATAAAATTTACTTGATGTGGCCTTATTTCAGTATGGGAAATACCATGGAAATATGTATAGGGATATCTTCTGGCCTGCAACAGTCAGGTATCAGCATTAAATTTTGCCTTTTTTCACTGCATGTCAACCACAATGACCTTTTGCTTTCCGGTTGAAATCAGACAAAAAAGCTGTCAACACTACTCATGTTCAGGTCTGCCTTACATGATTAAGCAACGAAATACAATTGGTCTGTTCAAACCTAAGGCCACACCAATTTAATTTCTTGGTTAACAGATTTTTCTAGAAAAATAATGGAGCGGATGGGCGAAAAAAAAATTAAAATAGGCCTGGGCATCCTATTATGGCCCAAAATGGTACGATAGGAGCCATGAAGTCAACACACCAGGCTGGTTCAAAATTTAAACAATGAATCTGAACTTTTAACGAAACCACTGCATTGAAAGATGGAATAACTGTAACAACTAGGAAGAAAAGGACTGTTTTCAATTGTTCAGGGCTAAATATGAGCATTTTGCAGTTGATTCTGAACCAGAATTTTTTTTTCAAATCATAAAAAAATGAAGCAATTGTGAATCCGTTAATCAAGAAATTAAATTGGTGTGGCCTAATCTTCTCTTTTAAATGTTTCAGTGTTGTTTTTTCCTGTGTGACTGTGTGGCTAAGTACGTCATGCCTGGTGCCTCTCTGAAGAACCACATCAGGTGGACATGTTGACTTTTTTATGCCTGACGGACACTCTTGTTTACCCTGTATTTTGGGTACAAATGTTGGATTTCAATGTAGTGTCATCAGAAGGATCCAAAGGGGTTTGGCAAGTCACTGATGTACAGTGTATCAAAATGATGCTGTATTTTCTGCCTTGCTGTATAATAATTATTATCATTTCAAGGAAAATTAAAATATTCAGTCCTATTATGAATACAATCTTCTTCTCTTATTAAGACCCATTCATTGAGACACATCAATTTGCATTTTATAATACATCATACATCAATGACCATTTAATTGAATAGAATACAGTTAACTGTATCAACCCCTATTGTAACCTTTGCTACACCGACCTTATGCTAACATTTGCTCGACGACAGAAATAGATGTTCTAACCCCAAATTTGGCACTCCATACATGTACCCGTTAGCAATTCCCAAGAATCAAGGACGCAAAAAACTAAGAAGGCACTTGATTGCTTGATGATAACAGACAGTTAATCATGATGTCAAACGGACAGGCAAAATCACAGGAGTTCGTAGCCACCAAAACTCGAACCGCGAAGCAGTCGTCTTTTTCGAGAGGTACAGCGTCAATTCTGCAGAAGAGCGGTACCCGCAGCCAAGAGGAGCAACTCTGGGAAGCCATTTGCAACGACGACCTGAAAAAGGTACACACCATTCTGTGTACAGCGCAGAACCTTAACCTGAACAAACCGTATACTGTTATAACTATTGATAAAAACCAGGGCCGCGATACCTGTAGTACGACATACCTCTTACAGGCTTGTAAAGTCTGTAGGTCCTCGGAGATCGCCTGTGGGCTAATACGAGCCGGCGCTAACGTCAACATGAGCGCGAAAGTCCTGAAGAAGGTACCGTACGGGAGCACGTGGGTAGCGGATGCGGCTGTCGGAAACGTTACACCGCTAATTCTCGCGGTCGTCACGAAAAACGAAGACCTGGTGAGATGTCTGCTACAACTTGGCGCTGACGTCAACTCCACCAATGAGGCGGGAGAGAGTCCGCTTCATTTCGTGTTAACGGGAGCGACGCCGAACCCCAGCCACGCTACCAGGAAGACTCCGATAGCGGCGAAAGATCGTAACGCGACTGATGCAGTGTTCGCTGCCTTGGTAGAGAACGGTGCGGACTTGAATGCAAGCGATAAGCAAGGTTTTACGCCTTTGCACGTGGCGGCAGAGAGAGGATGTTTGGAGGAGGTACAGACACTAGTGAAGGCAGGAGCAGACATTAATGTACAGACACCTGTCACAGGACTGACTCCTCTCAGCCTGGCTAAACATGCTAATAACGTAGCTGTGGTGAACTACTTAGTACAGCATGCAGAGGGGAAGGCTAACAGTGATGAAGCAAAGTGATTTGCTAAGAACAGAGTTGAATGTTACAGTATTCACTGTACAATATACTATGTGTGACTATATCTTAGATCGAGTTAAGTGATGCAACTGACTAAAAGATATTATATGAATAGTAATTATTACAATGTATGATATGGTTTAAAATTTAATTTTTGAAAGCAATTATAATTTTGACAATACATTTGTATTAAAAGCTAAAAATATTAATCCTCTTACAATAAAGCTTTGATGTATAACATCGTTCTATAAAGTTATATTATTTGCAATTAAGAAATTGTACATATGATAATTGTTACTGTATACTGTAAGTCTATAAATTTCCGCGGTATATTTAGATTCGCGGAATTCGCGGGGACCTTTGTACCGCGAATCTATTTCCCCGCGAATATGTTTTGCGTAAGTGTGCCCCCCCCTCCCCACATGCATTCATGAGGGCCGATTCACGACGGTAAGCGAAACACTGGAACAACACGCGCAATCCACAAATCACTGCAAACCAACTTTATTCTCCGCAAATGTACGTATGTTGAGTAACAAAATTTTTTAAGTTATACTGATATCAAAAATAATATGAGACACCGAATCGCGATACTGTGGCACTGGCCGTGTCAAACGTGCACCGCTGGACAAAAATCTTTGCATGCAGAGCGCCGGCCATGCGCGCACGGGCACTTGAAAATTGCGGGCACATCGGGCAAATCTGCAGATATTTTGATGAAAAATAGAACTGCTGGTATCTGGGAAATGTTAGTTGATTCTCTTTTGCGCCCTGCTATGCGGGCGTTTTTTTTTCTTCTTCTTGTTTTGCTGGATAGAAATGCTACCGTGGGTCTACAAAACCGAATGCGACGCGACCTTTGCATACTTCCGGGTTCAAAATCTCGCCGAAAACGGCATTAATTTGCTTAGGAATCTATATTTTCCCGAAAGATTCTTACGATTATGCATTTCTTCACTGGATTATCGATGTGTAGTCGTGGAAAATAGCGTTTTAGCGCTTATTTCCGAACAAAGAAAATTTACACGCGCGTCAGATTGATAGAGCTTTACCGCCGGCAGTCTTGCGCGGTTCACGAAACCGAAATTTTTGGACCGCGTTTTAGGGGATGAACCGGGACACGAACTTTTATTATTTTAAACATTCACTTTTACAAGTTCTTCTTGGAATGGCCAAGGAGAAATCGCGAATCTAAACATACCGCGGATTGTCCATTTTCCCGAAACCGCGAACTTTAGGCCCCGCGAATCTAAAGAGACTTACAGTATCACATTAATAAAGTGCTGTACAACACGACATATTATGACATTGTTGAATTTCTTCTTGTAGTACACAAAATCCTCATTCAGCAACAGTGAGTGACTGCACCTATAGACTGACAGATCCAATCAAATGAATGATCATTTTAGTTCAAATATTCTAAGCTCTTTCGTTTAAAATCAGCTTTTATTTGGGCTGTAACACAGTCACTAGGGTTAAAAAAAACAAGGCTACACATGGGGAATTCTTTTCCCTTTGTCTTTTTCTCGAGTGTGAATCTTTCGAAGAAATTCTCTCAACAATCTTGGACAAGTTCTCAAATTTAAAGACACTGCACTGCATAAAATGTTTCTTCCTTAATTTGTTTCTTTTAAACCATACATGTAGCTGGTGGCAAGTTTGAATCTTTATCTTTTAAAAAAGGTTGCAAACACCCCTTAACACCCTCCGTATTGTATATCATACCTTAACAAAGATATAACAAAGATATAAAAGAATTCCTTCAAAAGCTTGTTGAAAGAACCCTTTCCTTGTGAAACTATGGTTACATCAGACTTGCCACTTGGCTCAACTGTTATTAACTTAAAGGAAGAAGTTCGTGTCTGAAGAAGCAAGCAGGATTCAGGAGTTCTGTTCAGACTCAGCCTTACTTAAACCTCAGAACACTGGATGTCACCTGAATGGATGTCAAGTTCAAGTGCCCAGCAGTAAAGACAGATCAAGAAAGAAGAGGTGACAAAGACTGCTAAGAAAGTCAAAGTCCGGGACACAATCAAGTCACAAGAATGCTCAGCCCAACAACTATACAGTGCGAAGACAGGTGATAATATTCTATCTGATCTACATTTTTGTATAAGAGTGATCATGGTCAGTGAAGTGGTCCAAACTTTGTAGGTTTAAACTTACAGTTTACATTTCTTTCAAAATGGCCAGGACTGTTTCTTTACGTGATCAACTTTGGAATGCCGTATCACGGAATGATCTACAGCAAGTTCAGAAACTTTTGTTTTCTGGAGAGAACATTGACCTAAATGAACCATATGAAGTAAATGTCTACAAAGAGGAATATTATCATCATGGTGCAAATACATGTACTCCACTAACAGAAACTGGAAAAACTACATATCTGCTACAGGCCTGTCTTGTTAGTTCTCCAGTGCTTGTCAGTGCTTTGGTCAAAGCAGGGGCAAATGTCAATGATAGTGGTAATGTGATGTCCAAACATTGCCTGCATGAGAAAACTCGACAACAAATTTACAGAAGACAGTACAATGCCACACCTTTGATCCTTGCTGTTATACAGAGGAATGTAGAACTTGTTGAAAAACTGATTCACCGTTGTGGGGCTGATGTCAATGCAAGGAACATTGAGGGGTTAGCTCCACTGCACTTGAGTGTACACCGCCACATATCCTTCATCCTAAGCTATAGCAAAATTAAAACTTCTACAGAATCTAGAACTGAATCAATAGAAGAAGGAGATGTGGGACAAATTGCCAGCTTGCTGTTAATGGCTGGGGCAGCAGTTGATGTAACAGACAAGAATGGATGCACACCACTTTACTATGCTGCACGGGCCATGGACGTTACAACAGCTCGCCTCTTACTTCAGCATCGTGCAAGAGTAGACATCCCAAATAAAGATGGCTTGACCCCTCTCCACATTTCTGCCATGGAATGTCACGCTGAGATGTGTGAGGTTCTACTTTCTGGAGATGATAGGCTAAGCTCAACCATCGTAAACCTTGCAGCAAATGATGGCACTACTCCTCTACATGCTGTAATTCAAAATACATCAGATACTGGTGTACGTATTTTCGATGAAGATAATGTAGTTGTGAAAGTTGTAAAGATCTTCATTCAGAAAGGTGCTGACTTGACAGCTCAAAAGTACGGTCTCACCCCTCTGCACCAGGCAGCACACGGTGGTCTTGTTCACACTGTCCAGGCCTTAGTAGAAGCAGGTGCAGACATCCATGCTGAAACCCCAAACACTGGTCTGACTCCACTAGACATGGCTGAACATCAAAACAACCAAGAGGTCATTGAGTACCTGACATCAAGGCAAGAAAGTGAGACTTGTGAGAGGGAAAAGAACAAGCGAGAAGAACCAAGTGTTGAGAAAGAAGAAGAAGAGGAGGAAGATGCGACAGAGAATCTTGAAGAAGGAGCAGTGGGAGGAAAATTTGAAGAGTTGGTCATCAAGGAGGAATGAAAACAATTTATGGAAGAATGACAATTTTTGTCAGACTCAAAGACAAGTCTCAAGAATGTAGATTGCGTACATTATACATACTAATTACCTTCGCCAAGAAGGTTATGTTTTCAGAGGCGTTCGTGTGTGTCTGTCTGTGTGTGTGTCTGTAAATACGATAACTCGAGAAGGCTTAAATGGATTGTCTTGAACATACTTGGTAGGTAGGTAACAAATTTTGTCAGCAGTCAGGTAACACCTGTTAAACCTGTCCAACCACTTGTTCATGGGTGGAAAACAAGGTTATACATCTCTGCTGTATGTACATTTCTGGTATAGATCATTAACGTTAATTTAGCTTTGACGTATGATAATGTAATACATGTGCATGTATAAAGCTGCATAAAACTGTTTTACATATTAAAGTTCTCAATTCTGTTTGGATGATAAGCATTTGTTTGCACTCTTTTGACGATTTCAAGATGGGCCTTGAGAAATTAATTAGATTCTGTAATACAGAAAATTGATTGTAAAAATTCTAGTTTCATTAGGTTTAGAGTCATGTCACAGAAACCAAAATATAATATCTATTATCAGATTTTGGGACACAGTATACTTAGAAGACAGGAAAATTAAAATAAAAAGCTACATTATGATATTCACTAGCAATAACAGAAAATTCAATCTTAACCACCCTTTCCATTTTGGACATTAAGAAATACTTTTCTAATGAAAATTTGAGAGAAATGGATTACAAATCATTCAAGACAATAAAAACTGGGGCAACACGACTGAAATTGAAGAATGATATGTTTTACCCTCTGAAAATACAAAAATTATTGCAAATTATTGCCTATTGCAAAAATGTTGAACAAATTGTTATATTTTACACATAATTATAGCTTGAAGAATGGGAGTTTCCCATACACTCATCTCCATATACTGCCAGAGGCGTGCACTAAAGTTTGTATTGCTCACAGCACAGTCTCCACCCTGAGCAAATAGCTACTAGTAGTCAGGTAACACCTGTTAAACCTGTCCAACCACTTGTTCATGGGTGAAAAACAAGGTTCTACATGGGGTTTCCACATTGAATCTTAACAGTGAACATTAAGCAAAAATCTTGAATTTTCTCAACATGCAGAGATCATGTTGCATGTGTAGTCTAATTTTTTTCTGTTCACATGAATTTAAGTGGTATTTTATACATTCTCATGTCTTTAAAAGATTATGGAGAGGCGATGCTCCCATTAGTACAGTGGTTCATTGAACATCGCTCACAAAGAATTAGTTGGAAACTTGAAGTGGTTGATGTAGTTTATTCCAGTGTAACGGAGCTTACATGAAGTGTGAGCCTCTCTTGTACTGCTCAAGAGAAGACTCCCTCCCCTGGACACAGCCAGGCGGAGACTCCCTAAGAGAAGACTGATTTAAGAAAACGTACCTCTCGCTGCCGACTACTCCTTGATCTACTTTCATGGACTTATTTACTAATCTTTGAATGAATGAACGTCTTATATTGAACTTGGTGTTGTCCCTAAATCTGTGCTATGTAGCCTGGAAAAAGGGGCCATTACGGTATTTAGTTAAACTTCACTGTCCTACCTTAGGTAACCCAAGGTAGACGTGCAACCTTAGTGTTCCATCAATTAACCCTTAATTTCCTGTAGTGTCCTTGGATGTCCTTATAGTGTCCTTGGATGACCTTGAATGTCCTTCTCGGTGTTGAAATGATACGATTAAATAGAGATATTAATTATTAAATCAGAGATATCAATTATTAAATCAACCCTTACATCATCGATTCCGTGACAATGGGATCTGAAAGTTCCCCTTAACACCCACCACATAGAAACTGACATACATGACGTCATGCGTAAGGGTGGCAGCCATTTCCTTGTGAAACTGGGGATGTGAGAAAGTTGCGGTGAACAATCTGGGACAAGACGGGAGAAAAGCTGCTCTTCAGAACAATTGTACCTTGGATCACCAGAACTGTGACTTTGTCAGGTAGCAACTTCTAACAAGAAACAGCCTTAGAGTTTGTATTTAAGCAGTCAGTGAGATTAGCATATCAAAAGGTGCAAATTCTTGTCATTTAACTCAGTCTATATTATCCAATCCATAAGAGGCAGATATTGTCATAAGATATCTAGATCTTGTTTACCAAGTATCTGAATTTAGGCCTACATCTATTTCATTGTTACTTATAGTTGAGTGAGCATTTATAACAAATTCAAAATGTCAGAAGACTTGAAGTATGCTATCTCTCAGAATAATCTGAAGAAAATCCAAGAAATCCTATGTACCACTAATGTTGACTTGAACCGTAAGTACAGCAAGTACCGTCCTTTACTACAAGCATGTGTTAAGGGTTCTCCTGTGATTGTTGGTGCCCTTGTAAAGGCAGGTGCAAATGTAAATATCAAGGTTCACTATGATTATATTGAGTTGAGATCACCGCTTAATGGAGAAATAGGCCGCCATGGAATTCAAACAGTCACCCCTTTGATACTTGGAGTCGTGGACAGAAACTTGGAATTGGTGAAGAAACTTCTACAAGACTGCGGTGCTGATGTCAACGCAACAAACGAAGCCGGCACAGCACCTTTGCACTGTATCCCAACAAATCGTGTAGACACACACACACGCAGGGGTTTAACTGCTAAAGCTCAGGTGAAACAAGAAATTGCTGAGCTTCTGTTGAAGGCTGGAGCAGAAGTCAATGCACTGGATGGGAAAGGGCAGACGCCACTTCACCGCGCTGTCATTGCGAAAGATCTAGTCTTCACTAACCTACTGTTGAAGGCCGGAGCAGACGTCAACTTAAGTGACGGAGAACGCAAGACTCCACTTCACCGCACCGTTACAGCAAACCATCTTGAGTCAACACAGATTCTTCTTGAAAATGGCGCACGGGTTGACATTGCGGACAGAGATGGCTCTACAGCACTACACATTGCTGCAAGAGCACTCGACAGACAGCTTTGCCAGCTTCTGATACGGCATGAAGGTGGCAAGACAGCTGTCAATCACACAGCACGTGATGGGGCTACTCCATTACATGTTGCAATTGAATCGATAAACGTGTACTATACTATGATGTATACTTCTGAGGAAAGGATGTCTGTTGTGCAACTGTTGATTGACAACGGTGCAGATTTGACCAGCCAAAAGCACGGTTTAACCCCTCTACATCTCGCAGCAGAAGACAAACCTTTAGACATTGTCAAAATGCTGGTAGAGGCGGGGGCAGACATTCGAGCAGAGGCTCTAAAGACTGGTCTGACTCCCCTCGACATGGCCAAACACACAAAGAAGCAAGACGTTGTTGACTACCTGGTCGCAAGGGCAGAAAAGGACAATGAAGAGGGAGGAAGGCCCAAACGGGATCCACCCAGCGTGGAGCCACGGCAGACAGACACACCTGTGGAGGAGACTGTTGAAGGGGCAGTGGGAGGGATTCAAAAGTTGGACATCAAGGATGAGGACAGTAGTGACGATGACCTGTAGCGTCGGGTGGTATAGTGGTTAGAGCGTTTGACTATGAACCGGGAGACCCGGGTTCAATTCCGAGTCGTACTCGGGGCATGTCTGAACATGCACCCCGACGTTGTGCCCTTGGGAAAGGCACTTAACACGACTTTCCTCACTCCACCCAGGTGTGAATGGGTACCTGACTTCGGTTGGGGAAAGTCGTATTGAGGTCACTTGGCGCCGAATGGCTGCCGTATAGACCCTTGTGACAGTTCCACAAAAATTTGTGGAACAAATATGTGTATTATGTGTATTATTTGATTGTTGTGATTTGTCTTAATTATTATGTGATACCCTGCATCAATTCAGCCGTTAAAAGGCTACGACTGCACGGGTACTGTTTGGACAATAAAATAAAAAAACATTTATTATTAGTGACACAAAAATCAAACCAAACCTACTGAAATGTAGCTAACAGACAGTATGTGTACAAGTAGATGTAGCAAAGATTAATTTCTTGGGTAAATAGTAGGTGACACTCATAATTATACTTAGTAATGGTGTCAGTTCAAGTGAAGTCACTATGATGTAGAAAAGAGTATGATATGTTTTACTCTTATATACCTGCCTTGTATAGTATTATATATATAAAGTCTAGTCTAGTCTAGTAAAGTTAGGCAAGCTCAACAAGAATAATAGTGCTTAAAAAGACAAAATGACAGTTGGACAACTTGTCAATGAGTGGTGAAATATATATGTTTGTTGTGTCACATGTAAAGAGAGAATGGAATAGAGTTGTCAGAGTATACTTTATATAGATTATACAGTATATATATATTATATATATAATGTAGTTCGGAGCAGGCTTACATATGTATATCACAGGTAAAAGCAAGGGATATCGATGCAGATGTGCATGATTTGAGGTTTCCTATTTTTTATTAATCTGACAATATCCCAAGTTTGTTAGAGTTGAAGAATATATACCCATACTTAATATGTATTAGGCCACACCAGTTTAATTTGTTGGTTCTCGGATTTTTCCAGGAAAAAAATGAAGCGACAGGACGAAAAGACTAAAAATAAAAACAGGGTAAGGCATTGTGTTATAGCCCCAAATACAATGATAGGAGCCATGGAGTCAACACAAAAGGCTGGGTTGATATTTAAACAATGAATTTTGAACTTTTAATCAAACCACTGCATTGATAAACTGTAACAACTAGGAGGAAAGTAGAGTGACTTTCCTAAACTGTTGGGGGCAAAATATTGAGAATTTTTTAGTTGATTAAGAGTTGTTTTTTGTTTGTTTTGCAAGTCGGGAAAAAATGAAAAGGCAAATCCGAGAACTAAGGCGGTTAAACATTAAACCTCGTATTCAACCTCCTTGTGAGAACCAACAAATTAAATTGGTGTGGCCTTAGTATTACTAGTTGAAAATAAATAGCACATATTCTGAGTAGGGTGGTGGTCATTAGGTTATTATATTAGTTACAGTTCAATGTAACCTTCATTAACATTAAGGAGATAATCTTTTAACTAATATTTGTTTGCTTGATATGCTATTGGACCAATAAAGAAGTAATCATGTATGAAGTAGCCCTGTGCGATTTCTGTTAGTGTATGGCAAGAAGAATGCTAGCAATATCATTTTAAGTCATCTCTGGATCCAAAAATTTTTACAAGAATTTTTTAAAATGCTTAATTATATATTCATCATGACGTTTGTATAGTGTTGTCCCCCTAGCAGCTTCTCCCTAAATTTGAAGTAATTGGCCAGTAGTGGCACCTGTTCGACTGTAGGGTAAAGCTATTCAACCAAAATCATGGTCCTTTTACTATTAGTTAGGCCACACCGACTTAATTCTAAGGATGAAATCCTGCGTGCATTGATTTTCGCCTGTTCTAAAAGAAAAAAAAGATCATGTCTTCTGAGGCTGAGTGGCCAGGCTCTAGGCCTTAAGGTAGTCCATGGTAGATAGCGACAATACGAAGACGGTGGTAACTCTGGAGGATGGCACCCCGGTGGCCGACGCTCCACGACTCAAGAACTCAGAGTCAGTACAGTGCCGATTCATAAATTCCGCAAAAAGCCGGCATGTGCCGGCTTGTCATATACGTCGCTATACTGCTGCAAATTCACAATGCCAGGTTTGTATTCCTGTGCAGTGGTTTAGTAGCATTTTTATTTTTGGCTGGAATTTTTTTTATTCGCCCGCACGCACTAGTTTGGGGATCTTCAGAGGATGTCATCCATAAAATTAACTTTAAAATCTTTTGTGTGGCCTTACAGTACTTCACTATATATTCAATGTTTTGTTCATGGATTTTGTTGTGACTGTCATGCACACCTGCACTTGTATGTACATGTACATTGTAGGCGAAAAGCAAGGCTATACTTTGGGTTTCTGGTATCAGGCTCTTGAGTAAGAAACTCTCACACACATCTATATCAAATTGCTTTACTTGACTTTCTCAACAAAAAAATCAAGTAATTCACAATATAAACGTTGACTAGGAAACTAATAGTGAAATGAAATGAAATGAAATGAAATGATCTTTATTGCATATCCTTGCCCAGACGGGCTAAATGCATACATGCTTTGTCACAGTATAAAATACATGTGGTGCATACATACATAATGTATGTTTGAGTTCTATACTAGGATTCTAAGTACTACATAATTCTTAAAGTTACTGTTTGTCTATTTTTTGGTTCTGGTTTCTTCTCTCTTCTTGAAACACTTATTGATATAATCACACACTTTTTCTACAATGTGTTCATTTCTGCTTGACATAAGATGTATAAATCTATTTTGCTTGGACAGTTTCTTATATTTCTTGTCTAAATCTAGTACATTAAATAACACCTTACGTTCATTTTCATATAAACTACAATCAAGTAAAAAGTGCGACTCGTTTTCTACATATAGATGATCACAGAATTCGCACGTCCTATCGTTCAGAGGGGTACGGTTGTGCCTACCGGATTCTATATGTAAGGGATGGTCACTTATACGAAGTTTGCACATGGTTTTTCGATGTTCGAAGTTTGTAATGTTTAAATATGTTTCTCTTTCATAGTTCAGTTTAAATGTTTTGTATGTTCTTAATTTGTTGCCTTGGTTTTCTCTTCGTCCTTCTGCTTGTAGTTCTGAGTAGAACTTTTGGATGTGGATATCTTTCAATCTCTGTTTTAGTTCTTTTAGATGGGAGGGTGTGTTTAAGTGACCGTTTAAATACAGGTAGGCAAAACCGGACTCCTCTAACAGTTTCTTTACATCAGATAACCAGCAGGGTATATTTCGGCGAACTAGCTCTTGTTGTACTGTATAGGCTTCATATTGTAAACTACTTGGGAGCACTTCGTTAACTAGTCTAAAATAGTAATTGTACATTCGGCAATGGGCCTCTATCTGTAAGGGGAAACGTCCTAGTTCCGCTATACATGCGAAGTTACTGGCGTTCCTACGGACACCAAGAATGTATTTACAAAATTTCAGATGTACAGTTTCTAATGGCGATTTGTCGTTCAAACTGTTACTGCCCCAAACTTCGGAGCCATACAGTAATATCGGTACAACACATGTGTCAAACAGTTTACAGTGTAATGATACAGAGGATCTGGTTTCTCCGAGAGTACTTCTGATGTTAAACATTGCTCTTAGGGCCCTCTTTTGTAAATTTTTCATGGCAGTGCTAAATGTACATCCTGCTGTAAACACAACTCCTAGGTAGCAGTATGATTGAACTATCTCTATCTCTTTATCATCTAGTGAGAAACGAAGGTTAGAAAATAAGAGGCCTCTTTTGTTGAATATCATTACTTTAGTTTTTGCCAGGTTGATAGTTAACTTCCATTGTTTGCAGTACCGTCCAAGGGTGTTTATTGCTTTCTGTAATCCCTGCTCACTTTCCGATAATAAGACGATATCATCGGCATAAAAGAGGCTAGTAACTTTGGAATGTTCTAGTAGGGGTGCGTCTAGGTTTTCTGCGTTGAGTTTATCTATGAGATTACTGATGTATAGGTTGAATAGGGTTGGGCTTAAAACACATCCTTGGCGAACACCAATTTCAACGGGAAAACTTTCAGTTAGGCCTTCTTTAGTTTTAACACTGGCCTCAGATTGGTTGTATAGGTTTTTAATTACATCGAAAAATTTGCCTGACATGTCATTGGAAAGAAGCTTGAATAAAAGTCCCTCGTGCCAAATGGAGTCAAAAGCTTTTGACAGGTCGACAAAACATGCGAATAATCGTTTTCCCGACTGTGTGTATTTGGAGATAAGGGTTTTTAATATGAAGATGTTATCTGCTGTCCTATAGTTTTTTCGGAATCCGGTTTGGTTTGGTTTTATGATTTCTTTTCCTTCGAGGAAGGTTGAAAGTCTTTTGTTTAAAATCGAGGAGAAAAGTTTTCCTAAGCAGCTGGAAATGGCTATTCCACGATAATTGTTTGGGTCGTCTTTTCGCCCTGTTTTGAAGATGGGGACGATGTAACTTCTCGACCACATTTTGGGGAAAATTCCTGATGAGAAGGTACTATTAAAAAGTCTTAAGAGAGGGGTTAATAGGATATGTTTTCCTGCTTTCAGCATTTCATTGGTGACCATGTCATCCCCGCTGGCTTTTTTGTTTTTGAGGGCGTGAATTGCATCTTTAATTTCAGAGGCAGTGATTGGTTGGTCCAAGGGTCCTGGACTTGGCTTATATTTTTGGAGTGCCTGAAGTTTGCGCAAAATTTCAATTTCAAAGTTATGATCAAAGTTTTCTTGTTTTAATCTGGATTTGCTGTGAATGTTTTTGAAGTGCTCGACCCAGGTGTCGGCTGGTAGATCTTCCTGTGATACTGGTTCGGTCTTTTTTAGTTCTTTGAGTAAATTCCAGAAGGCGGTGGGGTTGTTTTCTTGGAGGTTTTGTAGGCGCATCAGACAGTTATTTTCGTATTCTCGTTTGCGTTTTCGGATGAGTTTATTGAACTCCTTCTTTTTTCTAAAGTAACTTCCTCTTAGGGACGGATTTTTTGGGTTGTGCATAAGAAGGTATCTAAGATTTCGCAGTTCTTTCCTGGCCTCATAACATGATTTGTCGAACCATTTTTTGTTCTGTTTTGGTCCTTTGTGTCTTTTGTTATCTTTTACTTTTAATGATATCCTTCCGGCCATTTCTAGAATTTTCTGGAATTTACTGACTTCCTCATCAATGTAGTTACCTGTTGATGTGACATCTTGTCCAGGTGGTAGGAAGTTATTAATTTTTCTGATATCATCGGACTACATAAAGCCTGAATGAATTTTTCACTTGAATTTGAGTCCCAGATGAACCTGTTGGGAAGAGGGTTTAATTTACTTTTGCGCGTTTTCGTATCCTGAATGTGCCAGTGTGGCGTGTTTATATTTAAAGTTATCAAGCAGTGATCCGAAAACTCTGATAATTCGTGAACTTTGAATACATTAATGTTATGAAGAAGTGCGCTACTTGTAATGGCGTAATCCACCGTGCTACAGCCGTTAGGCTGGTAGCAGGTGTACTTTCCATTTAGATCGCCCAGGATGCGACCGTTTAGAATGCGCAGGTTTGAATGGGAACATAGTTGAATTAGGTTCTTACCAAAGGGATTTGGGGGGGTTCTGTCAGAATTAATTCTGGGGATATTTGGGTTAGAAAGGGGAATTTCTTCTTCAAAATCCGGGTCAAAGGGGTCCTCGGTGAGGTCTTGTAGAGAGCCTATCCTACTATTGAAATCGCCCCCTAAAATAATATAGCCTTTGGAGCTAAAAGTCGCTATATCCCTCTCCAGGGTATCAAAAATACAATCATCCGCCCTTTTGTGGACATTTGAGTATAAGGGACTTATATATACCGTACATATAAAAACATCTTTTGATAGTCCAAACAAGTCTTTTGATACTCGAACCCAGAGTAAGTCATCCGATGTGGAGTGTTCTCTTCTTATAAACTTTGTCAATTCTTTTCTGAAGTAAAAGATTATCCCACCAGAGTTTCTTCTTGCCCTTCTATGTTTTTTTCTTAAGGATGAAAAGTGATGGAAATTTGGAATGTCTATTTCTGAGGATTCGTTGCTCCAGGTTTCGAGAAGAGAGAAGAAATCTAGATTGTCTACGCTACTTCTAAAACTATCTTCCTTAAGTTTTTTCCCTAAGCCATGGATGTTCCAAAAACCTATGTACCATATAATGTTGCAATAATTGTATCAACATCAAATTTCTATGCTTTTACATGTGTAAGAGGTAGCCACAACCCCCCTTGACACCCTCTTCATAGAAATGAAATAATTGACGTCATGCGTTACCAAAGGGACAGTATGTTATGAAACTTCTCCACAGTCTTGTTAGCCATTTCCTTGTGAAACTGGGCTTGTTGGAAGTTGCTAAGACCTCTGATACTCTTGGAAGCAAGAAAGAAGAAAGGAAATTAACTGGAAGTTACCAGAAAAAACTTTGGAATGTCTCCATATCATCACTGAAGGTACAACTTCGCATGAAAACTGGATATTCAGAGAGAATGCAGATCCAGAGGTAGATTATATTAAGAAATTTCTGCTGGTGAACTTCACTCTGTGTTTGAAACAAGAAGAATTTGATTTGACTTGATTTGATTTATTGAAATTGCAACAGTGCAATACACGCGGAACAGAGCCAGCTGTTGCTGGTGTTGTGTCCTGCACATAGAAACGAATACAGGATAGACAATACTCATTTTCACTTGAGTCAGTGGGGATAGTCGTGTAAAGTGCCTTTCCCAAGGGCACAAGATCGGTGGCATGATCAGGACTCGAGCCTGGGACCTCTTGATTCCGAGTCGCGCACGCTGCCGTTGCGCCACACGACCCCACAAATTAATTTAATACTGAGGACCTAACCGTATAACTGAGTTTGAAGTACACTAGCCTGACTGTGCTTATGCAATTTTTGCTGGCTGTGTTTAACTGGAGTCAGCAATTGTCATACAGGCTGGCTGCTTGGAGTGTGACTTAGTCAGGCTAGAAGTATCCATACTACATTTGTACTGCAAATCAGTGAACATACATTAATAGTATAGTCTGTTTTGATTGGGCAACCTCCATAATGTTAACAAGATTGCAGTATAAGAAAATAGAGGATCTGAAAAAGGCTATTTCCACCAACAATTTACAGGAAATACAAAAGATCCTCTGCAGTAGTATCTATGTTGACTTGAACAATTGTGGAGACTACAATCCTTTACTACATGCTTGTTGTAGAGGGTACGTATCCAGTAGTTGCTGGTGCCCTGGTAAAGGCAGGTGCAAATGTCAATATAAGGGTAAAACTTCACTCTATTCACTTCAGACTCAGAGAGTTAGGTGTAAGTGTGACAATGTATGAAAACCTCTGTCAGGCAGTAGGAGGCATGTATGGTACAGTGACCCCTTTGATAATTGGAGTTGTAGACAGAAACGTGGAACTAGTCCGGAAACTTCTACAAGACTGTGGTGCTGATGCCAATGCAACAAATGAGGCAGGCTTGACGCCTCTGCACTGTATCCCAACAAATAAGAAAGATGAACGTTTACCCGCTAGTGCTCACGTGAAACAAGAAATTGCGGATCTGTTGTTGAAGGCAGGAGCCCAAGTCAACGCATGTGACAGCAAAGCTGAAACACCACTTCACTGTGCTGCTATGGCAAAGGATCCGGTCTCCACACGCATATTTCTTCAGAATGGTGCAACAGTGGACATTGTAAACAGCGAAGGTTCTACACCATTACATACAGCATGTCAAGCAAAAGTGGATAGTCGGTGTAATATTACCGGTATGTATTATCCTGATACAAATCAGATTCAGAATATTGCGGCAGTTGTAAAACTCCTCGTTGACAATCGAGCAAACTTGTCCAGCCAGAAGCACGGTTTGACCCCCTTACACCTTGCAGCAGAAGTTGGCTATCTAAATGTCGTGAAAGTGCTTGTAAGAGCAGGAGCAGACATCAACACAAAGGCTCCTGTTACCGATCTAACTCCTCTGGACATGGCTGTACATGCAAGGAAGCAAGATGTTGTTAACTACCTGGTCACTGAAGCAGCAGAAAGAAGGAGGAGACTTCAAGTCACAAAGAAAAGGACAAAGGAACGACAAAGACCTAAACGGGATTCATCAAGTGTAGAGCAAGCAGAAGACAATAACATGTCATCACAGCAGACAGTCACACCTGTGGAGGAGACTGTTGAAGGGGCAGTGGGAGGGATTCAGCAGTTGGACATCAGGGATGAGGACAGTGGTGACAAGGAATGAAACGAAAACCAACTGAAATGTAGTTCAAGACAAAGACACTACGTAGCTGTCTCAAAGATTCATTTAATGGGGAACAATTGTACAGTCACTAACTTCTAATTTACTATGCTGTAGAGTCTACTACTAGAGAAGACCGAGTGTGTTGTTGCCAGTCTTTTCTGTCTTGTATAGTCTCATGATTTAATAGTCATGTACTTTAAAAACGATGGAAAAGTTCAAAAAGAATAATTGTGCTTAAAACAGTAAAAAAGCATATAGTTGTCAATGAGTGGTGAACTATGTTTTATCATATGTACAAAATGTAGAGAGAGAATGGTATTGAATGTAGATTTGTCAGTATAATTGTCATGTAATTTGCAAAGATGAGGGAAGTGAAGAGAAGGGTGAAACAAAAACCACTGAAGTCTGAACTTTAATATTCACACCAAGTGGCATTCCATGCACAACTTGCTTTTAAAGAAATCGTATGAACTTACATTAAGATGGTTTGAGGTATAGTATAGATCAAGACACATAGCCTGGGTGCCATCCGATTTGTGCACCCCCAGGCTACATGTGAAGGGTTTTCTACCTACAGATTGGACTGATAGATTGTTACTCGATTGAAAGACATGCATGTGTTCTCACCTGTATATACATGTATTACTACTTACTAGAAACCTTGAGAAAGGTCTTGGATCAAAGTACATTGTAACTGTTTCATCAATTATCATCATCTTTGATACTGCCAAGCCTGCAATAGATGTTTCCTTAAAAGAGCATGATTTTTCTGTGCTATATTTATTATACAGCAAGTTTTTTTAACGTCTTTCTACACTGTAGACACATAATTTACTAGAAATCTATGTGCTGATTGTAGCATATATATATACTGGTATCTTAGTAATAAAAGAGAAAGAGAAGAGTAATAAAACCAAGGACATCAAACATTCTACACATGTGACAATATGTAAATGCTGAAAACTAATACATGTACCTTATATAATTTAACTGAAGATGATTGTAACGTGGCAGGCAAAAAATTATTATTCTGGACAAATTTATTCAGACTATTAGGCCAATCTACTATTTTTCCAGCATCTTAAAGTGTCTAGTAGAGACAAACATTTCACTTACCACTCTGCTTGGTCGCTGGGTTTTCAAATCATGATTATTATGACGTGCATGGCGTAGAAAAACACTTAAAAACTATATAAAAACACAAGTTTCCACAAACCTTTCTCGAAAGTCCGCCATCTTGAAATTCCCGCAAGAAAATAGCCTCCAAACCAAACTCTTCGGGGTCGTTTTCAATTTAGGTTAAAGCCATTTTTCTTATTCTCTTATTGTTCCTGTGCTCTAAATCTGATTCATTGAATATTGCTGAAAGAGAATCCCCCAAAACAAGGTAGCAATCAGAGAAAAAAAGTAGTCAAACAGGAAACAACTTTTATGTGGAAAGTCCACTGAAACGTCTGCTATGGAGGCTACTGAAACTTCAAACCACGTGACCGAAGGGCCCAGCGTTGACCAATCAGCTTCAGGTCGAACGGACCGTACCATGTGTGATAATAACATAGGGGGTGCAGACGAGATTAATCATTATTGCTCTTGATAATTAACCATCACCATTCCACCAGCAATCAAAAGTAATCATTCTCGCCCCACAATTTTAGACTTCTTTTCTGTGCCAAACCCAATGATCAGGATACCTTCTGCCACAGCAAGTGTTTATATTCCCAAACTTGTGGACGCCCCCCTCCATTTGTTAATCATAGGTGTGGACCTCTCCTTGGTGCTGAACTCACCATCAGTTCCATGTATTAAGTATTGCAGTTGTGAATATTATACTGGACGTTTTGTTTGACACAACAGAACACCCATGGAAAGGGGAGGGATTGAATTGGTGTGTTTTAGTACATATATACAGTATAGAAGCCTGCATATCAACAAGATCTTTATTTCATCAACAGTTTTTATTCACATATATTTTCTTAGGATCATGCAATTTTCTTTATTATTACGTGCACAAATCCTCTTTTGTGGGCTATTGTGGCATGGAGTCGAGAAAAAATGACTCAAATTGCACATTTCAAATACAATCAAAAACCATGTAACAGTTACGTATAAAACTACATAACAAGGAACATTAAAAGCCATGCAAGAATCCAATGTGCTAAAAGAACATACACCCTCCGGTACACGATACCTCCTTTTCCATTTGCATTTCCAAATTGCATTGTATGTCTTTGATGGCAGTAGGTTGTCTTGTTTCAAAACACACGTACAAAAGAAAAAAAAAAACTGTTCTATAGTTCAACCCTAAAGGTCATATGCTGTGCTAACAGTAGTCAGACTAGCCCCGGGGTGTTGCAAGTAACTGCCTACAACAATAGAACCAGCGAAATGACGTACTGCAATTATAAGTTGTGGTATGATTTTCGTGCTTGTTCCGTTTCCTTGTCGAAGGTAGAGCTGTCTTAGGGGCAGCTTTTGACAAATTTGTGCTCCTTTTCTTGAAGCCACAGTACCTTCTATATAGTACAAGTATTAGCTGTCGTTACGGGAGTAAGATGTCAACAGATAAGCTAACGTACAGTCGCTTGGTGCCCGAGAGGGGAACCCGCGGCCGCCGGGAGCGAACAAGCGGCCTGCCCGGGGCTTGGGTAGCGCTGCTGCTGGGGGCGGGCGCGGTAGTCGCCTCCGCTGCGGTGGTGGCCGTGATCTTGCAGAACATCGGACACGAGATGGGAGATCTCCGGGAAAACATCGCTAAACTCCAAGCCCGCGCGGACAGTGCAGAGAAAGACCTAAAAGAGGCGCAAGCACGGGCAGAGAGAGACCTAAAGGAGGTACAAGCACAGGCAGAGAGAGACCTAAAGGAGGTACAAGCACAGGCAGAGAGAAACCTAAAGGAGGTACAAGCACAGGCAGAGAGAGACCTAAAGGAGGTACAAGCTCGGGCAGAGAGAGACCAATCCAAACTCCTACAGGAGATCATGTCCCTGAGAGAGAGGGTTGTTGTGCTGGAAAGTTTTCCACCAAGTCACGTCGAAAAACAAACGTCTGACGTACGTAAATTTTACAACTTATCTTCAGGTATATTTAGACTATGGTGCCCATGAACCTACAGACTTAGTACCGAGTATTTAAATTACATTGTATTGAATAGTACATTGTATTGTATAGTAGTGACTCCCTAGACTTCTATAATAACAGTAATCATTGTATTAGAAGTCAATATTGCGGTTGGGATTATTTTAACATAATCGCTGGGCATACTATGTAGTTTGACTATGTTCTGCACAATCTGAGCGGCATCGGCAATTTCTGAGGTCTTTGGTGGAGGTTCTACCAACAAGTGGTGCATAGAACAGAGAGCATATGTGTAACAAGTCTCTTCCAGGTTTCCAAATATTAGCCTAGGCCTGCAAGGAGGCAAAAAGAGTAGAAATTGGCCATGCCGGGAGAGTTAGTTTGCTAAAGGAGTACAGTTTTCCGCTCCTCTGGCGTGCTAAGTGTCCATTTGACCAGTTTCTACTCTTTCCAGTCGCCTCATAAGCCTGATACTGAGGCTAATGTTTGACTGTTTCCTTGTGCGTATGTGTCAAACTGTATTTGGCTCTTGTTCAATTCTGCTCTGTGTTGTGTCAATTATAATGTTCACGGGTTCATGAAGATTTGCCACACTAGACTGAACATTATCTTTCTGACAGACCGGTCCTGTTTCGTACCCTGAGGGGGACTCTGGTGACATCGACACAGGTGTGCAGAGCCGTAATGACACGCTAGGGGGACTTCTGTACCGCCACAAGAGGGAGGCACCGAACGCAAACTGGGTCCGACTTCCCGCCAGCACATGTGAGGGAGCTGGGGCCCATTTCTTTTGTAGCTAGCTTGGAGGGTTGACTGTTGTCCTGTGTTTCTCAGTCTCTTAGTTTAGTTTACTCTCGTCTTGTCTTGTCTGGTCTGTTACACTGCGTTTGTGTTTATTCTATTTTATTGCTACTGTCCAGGCCAAGCCGGTCGAGACGGACGCGATGGCATTCCGGGTGCTTCCGGACTCCAGGTGGGTCAAACATGCCGTTCTGTGCACGTTTGATGTGCGTTTCATACTAAAATAACATCGTCGTTGAGTTGTGTCCACTTTTGGCCATGTTGGATACAGGAGGAAGACCAGAGTGACTGGTTGAAGGCTCTAGGTGAGAGAACTTTTGTTTTGGACCAAATTAAAAGTTTTAACTTTAAACATGTAACTACCAACACAGATGAACTTTCATGATAGCGTTCTTATCATTTCTTTCTGAAAGGGTCCACCTGGACAGAAGGGAGACCTTGGACAGCCTGGAACTAAAGGGGCCCGGGGAGCGGGTGAGTTTAGGCTCATCCGCAGACCATTATATAACCAGATTTAAATTACTTTGTCGAGTAATCTGGAGCTCCGTATCGAATGAACACTCTAAGACTGTTGCCACATACATTTGTATAAAACACCAAAATTATTGTGGAAATTTAACTACTCTTTCTCCAACTCAAGAAATTTGACTAGTCGGAATTTTCGGTTTTCGCCAGCTATATATCTGAGGCTAGTTCTATAGACACTTAAAAGAGGCTATCTACATCAGGGCACACCAACCTTCTCTCAACAGGGACGGCAGTCGGTACCAACTTCCGATGACCTTTGACCTATTGTGTACCACATGTGCGTAAAATCACGTGACTACAACACTTGAACCAGATATCTGATGAAGACTGAGAGACTCGGTCGAAAATTCTGATGAGTCAAATTCCTTTAGTTGAAGAACAGTATTATGTAACTTACCAACATAGATGAACTTTCATGCAACTTACACTAAAATTGTTGATCTTAGGAGCAAAGGGGGCCAAAGGAGACACCGGACTGCAAGGGTCCAAAGGACAGAAAGGCTCACAAGGGGCTTCTGGAAACAACGGTGAATATACCATATCGTATAACTACATCACTACAGTACGGTCATTCAGAAGACATATAAACACATGATATCTGTGTTTAATGAAGATTCTATGGGTTGTTATTATGTACAGGAGGTGCTGTTTACGTACGCTGGGGTAGGAAGACATGTCCCTCGGGAGGCGCAACGATAGTCTACTCTGGTGAGCTCTTATGTTACCTAGCCTCTATCAGGCTTTGGGAGGCGGCTGAAAAGAGTAGAAACTGGCCAAACAGAGAGATACATGTAACATGCCAGAGGAGTTGGTCCGCTTGAGAGTACAGTTTGCTGCACCTGTCCAGCATTTTATCTCTTTATGTGGCCAATTTCTACTCTTTACAGTCGCCTCTCGAAGCCTGGTAAAGGCTAATGTTTTTTTGCTTTGTTTTTCTTCCTTCTTCTTCTCCAAACCAAGGAGGGTCTAGCGGAAGGGGCTAAAACCTCCTCGTCCAAATACGTAAGGTCAATGACCTACACCAGGCGTCTGTTACCATGGTAACTAGTTGATGCTGTAGACCAGTTACCAGTTATAGACCTTGCGAAACTTTCGTACTTTTGAGTTAGTAAAGTTTGTTTATATGATATCTGCATGTGTTTGAGTGAGAATGAACAGAGCAGTATTTATCTTAAAAGTTCATCTGTGTTGTTGGAAGTCTTTATGAACTGCAATTTCCAACACAAGGAATTGGACTTACTCAGATTTTCTACTGTACGACTCTCGTCAAGGAACAAGGAACGTCGTTGTTGTTGTTTCAAATTATGTATACGCAAGTAATTATTTCCTTTAGGTGTGGCAGGAGGAACACATTACGGTCAAACTGGCGGCGGAACCAACTACCAGTGTCTGCCGACCGACCCGCAATGGGGGCGCTACGAGAACGGAGTCAGTGGCTTCAGTGCATTCATGTACGGCGCTCAATATCGGGTAGCCACCAACGTCCCATTCGGCTCCACATACCTCAATGCCCACGACGTCCCGTGTGCGGTCTGCTACGTCCCAACCCGCGGCAGTAAGTTGATGATCCCCGCCCGAAACACCTGTTACAGCGGCTGGACAGAGGAGTACGCTGGGTATCTTATGGCTAGTTCGTACGTCCACAATGCCACAGAGTATGTCTGCGTGGATAACAACCCCGAGACCGTACCAGGCGGACAAGACAACCAGGGCGGAGCGTGGTTCTACCCCGTGGAAGCCCGCTGTGGGACCCTGCCCTGTCCCAACTATGTGGAAGGGCGGGAGCTCACCTGTGTGGTCTGCACCAAGTGAAACTTTAACTTCAAGACTTGTGGGGTCGTGTGGCACAACGGCAGAGTGCGCGACTCGGAATCAAGAGGTCCCGGGTTCAATACCTGACATGCCACCGATCTTGTGTCCTTGGGAAAGGCACTTTACACGACTTTCCTCACCAGACTCAAGTGAAAATGAGTATTGTCTGTCCAGTAGTCGTTTCTATGTGCGGGACACAACACCAACAACAGCTGCCTCTGTTCCGCGTGTATTGCACTGTTGCAATTTCAATAAATCAAATCAGCACATATCCTTCGCACATAACCTAGCGGCTTGTTCTGGAACTACAGAGGCACATGTTTGAAAAAAATCTTTGGAGAAGGATAACTCAATACAGGTTTCGGATCATTGAGATTTTCAGAACTAGTCTATAAGTAGCTTAAGTGATACTTGACATAATAAAGTTAGATGACAACTATAGAGATCGGGATCTAATTTTCATACTTGATGAGGAAATTAAATAAATCTGCTGTATTCCATAATAGGACTACCAACTTTTGATGCATGTAATTGAGAACGAGACATTCATAGATATCGATTATGTAAATGGTGTACCAATTTGTATATTAATGATAGAATGCTACAATTTCATAGTGGTAACTAAATTACAGGAATTTCATACTTGCTTTGTTTGGAAGCTAGGTGATGGGCAATAACATTAAACATAACTTAAAGCTCACAATAAATGTTTCCTTAAGAGCATGATTTTTCTGTGCTAAATTACAGCAAGTTTGTTGAAAATTATGTCTTTCTACAGTAGTTCAGACTGAATCAGAGCATTATGGTGATTAGAAATCATTGGGATCTTAGCGACAAAAAATCAAGGAATCAAACATTCTGCACATGTGACAATATGTGTATGTGAACATCAATACCTTATATTACATCTAACTGAAGATGATTGTATTAAACGTGGCAAGCTAATAATTATTATTTCCAAATTTATTCAGACTATGAGGCCAATCTACTATTTTTCCAGCATCCCAAAGAGTCTGGTGGAGACTAGTAATTCACTTACCACTCTGCGTGGTCGCTGGGTTTTCAAATCATTATTATTTTGACGTGCATGACGTAGAAAAACACATAAAAACACAAGTTTCAACAAACCTTCCAAGAAAGTCCGCCATCTTGAAATTCCCGCAACAGGATAGCCTCCAAACCAGACTCTTCGGGTGCTTTTAAATTAACGTTAAAGCCATTTTTTTTATTCTGATATCGTTACTGTGCTCTAAATCTGATTCATTGAATATTGTTGAAAAGAGAATCCTCCAGAACAAGATAGCAATTAGAGAAAAAAGTAGTCAAACAGGAAACAACTTTTATGGGGAAACTCCATTGACATGTCTGCTATGGAGGCTACTGAAACTTTAAACCACGTGACCGAAGGGCCCGGCGTCTACCAATCAGCTGCAGGTCGAACGGACCGTACCATGTCTGATAATTACATAGGGGGTGCAAACGAGATTAATCATTATTGCTCTTCATAATTAACCATCACCATTCCGCCACCAATCAAAAGTAATCATTCTCGCCCCAAAATTTAGATCCTTTTCTGTGCCAAACCCAACGATCAGGATACCTTCTGCCACAGCAAGTGTTTATATCCCCAACCTTGTGGATGCCCACCCCCATTTGTAAATCATAGGTGTGGACCTCTCCTTGGTGCTGAACTCACCATCAGTTCCATGTATTAAGTATTGCAGTTGTGAATATTATACTGGACGTTTTGTTTGACACAACAGAACACCCATGGAAAAGGGAGGGATTGGTGTGTTTAAGTACATATATACAGTATATAGTACATAGAAGCCTGTATATCAACAAGATCTTTATTTCAACAGTTTTTATTCAAACAATATTTAATATCTGACACGTGAAAAAAAACGTCGCATTTTTTGTGGCGAAATTTCAACATTTGCCTTTATTATTATTATTTTTTGGGGGGTTGGTGTTTCCACATAAAATTCTCTCTTGGGATATGGTGATACAAAACGCTTTTGAATATCACATCTATAGATATTCTATCGTCATTAAAAATTTATATCTCATTACGATAAAAGGCCTATCACAATTAGTAACCGCTGAAGTAGAAATTTGGCTACCAATTCTATATTGTTACGGGGTTAAGGCCACAGCAAGTAATTTTTATGGATGACTTCAGCGCGCGCATTAATTTTCGCCTGATTTTGGAAAAAAAAAACAAGAATTTTTGGTGCCCTCTGACAGTGGTCAACATGCCGAAAATGGGTAAAGATGTCTGTTGCCATGCTGGAAGGTGGATGGCAGATAACTATGAAGAGAGAAGACAAGAAAAGACTCTGATTTAATGTTTTGTTTCTAACTTTGATGCAGTGATATGTGGTGTTGGATGTGTATACATGTATGTTATATTCCCATTGAATCAAAACCATTTGTGAAATGATTGAGTCAAAATTTTAAAATGTGGGAACCTTGTTTTTTTCGGCCCGCCTTGTTGTTTTTTTCGCCCGCTCGCATTAGATTTGGAGTCTGTGGAGGATGTCATCCATAAAATTTACATGCTGTGGCCTAACTTAAACCACACCCAGACATTACGAAAACCTAATTTCTCAAATAGGCCGGCATAGGAGCATCTCCTTCCGAATGGTGACTTTCTGAACAAGCGTCTTTAATTCTCAAGACTTAGAACAAGACCATCTTGACTTAAAATGGCAGAGGAGGAGCTTTGGGAGGCTATAGCCAGTAACGATCTCCAAAAAGTGCAACGTGTACTGTGTACGAACGAAGATATTGATCTAAATGCGTTATACAGTCCTACAACCGATGACTACTGTGAGAACGTGGCGACGACCTTTCTCCTCTGGGCTTGTAAGACCGCCTCGCCCGAGGTGGTAAGTGCTCTGGTGACGGTCGGTGCAGACGTGAACGCAAGCGCGTATCTAGTAGACGAAGAAGCACCAAACAGTTGGAGGATAGAACACGAAGTTGGCCACGTAACTCCCCTAATTTACGCCGTGAAACGACGTAACATCGAGCTGGTACGTCGCTTGTTGCAGTCCTGCCAAGCTGACCCCGATGCTACGAATGGCGAAGGAAGAACGGCGTTACATTATGTTGTAGAACCGATGTCCCCGGCCGAAGATTGGCATAGTCTGAATCCCTCAGTTTCAAAAGACGCCACAGGAGCAAGAGAAGACATTGCAGTCTTACTACTTCAAGCAGGAGTAAAACTCTACCTCGCTGATCAGAAAGGTAACACTCCTCTACACATGGCAGCGGCGAACGTTGACGTCCCGATATGCAAGATCCTCCTGAGCCCCATCGGCCAGGTATCTGTGCGGGCAGGCATGCAAGTCAGCCCGGTACAAAACGACGGAGGGACCCCCTTGCATTCCGCGATTGAGTCAGGCGGTCGCGACGAAGAAATCGCCTGCATCGTAGAAATGTTGGCTCAAAAGGGTGCAGATCTAAAAGCTAGAAAATTTGGGTTGACCCCGTTACATCTTGCGGCACAGAATGGTCTCCTACTCACCGTGAAAACGCTTCTAGATGCCGGGGCGGACGCGGAGGCAAGGGCGGCCAGAACAGGGCTCACGCCGCTCGACATGGCGCGGCACGCCTTCAAGAGGGCCGTCGTGGTATATCTTGAAACTGGCGAACTTCCAGAAGACACTGAAGACAAGGAAGATACATTTAACAACTCTGCTACAGATCTAGAACCTACACCCCAAACCACAAGCCAGGAACCCAGGGAGGCATTCAAGAACTTTCCTACAGAATCAGCACTCCAAAACACAAGTCAAGAACCTGCGGAAGGTAGTAAACCTTCTCCGATCAGTGTTTGGACTGTCGCAAGGCCAGAACTCGGTGAGACTCGTGAGGAGTTTGAAGGAAGAGTTTTGTTCCGTAAAAGACTGCAGTTCCTACGGCAGACGATGGAACTAACATTTCTGTCGGCCCCAGAAGACCCTCAACAGATTGGTCTAGGAAAAGCGTTGCTGAAGACACAGCAAGCGAGATATCAACCCTAAAATCGGCGACTGAAGAACAAGAGAGGCCAAAAAAGAGAGAAGACAACGCTGTGCCACCGCAAAACTTTTATACCAGCCATCGACAGTCTTTGGCAGAAGGGTCTATGAAAAGTTTTGCGACAGAAACGAGCAGCGAGTCAACGCTGGTGTTGGGATCGACGAAAGACCGCGACTTTGAGACACAAGCACCCGGTAAAGAAGACACCACCATGCCGCTAAAACATGCCCAAGCCTTACCGTTCCAACTAGCCGCTCTACAAAACGGTGCTACAAAAACAGAATCCATTGTGTCGTCTGCAACTCACACAACTGAAAGAAGTCAGCACAGGAAAAAGCAGGGTAAACCAGCAAGGCTCAAAGACAAGGACATTCTGTCCATGGACGAAAAGATGGACATCCTCCTGCAGACCTTGGGAGACATGCACTTACAGATGGCCAAGATGACCAAGAGGATCTCTAGACTTGAAACGGAGAAGAAGTCTGAGGGAGGGAAAGACAAAGAAATGGGGAATGGACAATGAAGACCATGTAAAAAGATGTATTTATTCACATATATTTATTTAGTATTAGGCAAGAAGCACAGTTGCTTATGTGATGCCTCTACTAAAATACATAAAACGAGAGTAAAACACAATAACAAAATACATACATAATTACAAAGTTGGTAAAAGGAAAATGAGTATAAACAAGACAAGTTGGTGATCTACCAATTTCGAGAATCTACATGTACAGTAAATACATGGAAAGATATGCCATATACACTGTAGTTGTACAGACTTGTAATAATGATTTGAATATAGTCAATATACATATATGTAGACTTAACTGTATTATGAAAGGTGCTTAATACAAATGTCCTTTTTAACATATTAGCCTTTGTAATATATACCTTTAAAACATTGTATTGTATGAACCGGTGAGTTGGTTATCAATTTCTTTATTGTTTAATAACAATTATTTCAATATTATTAATATTACTATTATCATTATTATTAGTAGTAGTACGTATAGTTAATACCTAGCCCGTAGTCTTATGTTGGCGTCATTTG